ATTCTAGGATTTGAAGGTAATGGATCTCCAATTGTTGAAATGGTAACAGAAATGCGCTGCTCTTGACTTGATTGGGACAGTCCTGTTTTCATTACTCCTAGTCTCCCTTCAGTTCCCTCTGAAAGTGTCTCAGGTGGGCTGATGAATTATAACCACTCTATTTAATACATGCTGCCCCTTCAGCACTTTTCCAAGTCATGTGTTTGACCATTAATCAGACAGACAGCATTTATTTAACATTTATACAGTTAAGATAGACATAGACTCCCACTGCAGTATTCTTTTGTTTTCTCTCAAATATTCTCCATGGGGCCACTTGTTTTTGAAAAATTTCTATGAAGAAAATTAAAAATGATGATGGGTTTTATTTACATTGCCACTCAATATATATTATGAATAAAATTACTCAATTTATCTCTCTTATCATATGGTTTTCTTTTGAGTGAAATTTAGGCTTCACATTCTGTGGTTTCATAATTATGGAAGCACAAATCACATATAGCCTGAGACACATTGAAAACAAACTCTTCATAAGTCAGGAATGTCACCATTTCTTCCAAGGATGTAGAATTTCTTTATGACTCTGCAAATACATCTAAAAGTCTTCATTTGTCAGTTTGATGAATATGCCACCAAGCAACATTACCTTGGCATATAAATCATTTACCCATGAAATCTTTAAAGAGAATTGTCAAATGTTTCTTTGTAGCCTTTGATTCTATTGGTTTTATGCTTCTAATGTGTCAAGAAATATAGCTGACTCTCAGGGGTAATTTTCTTTTAAAATCCTAGATAGCAGATTATTACAAAACCAAATAGGAAAGGTATCTTTCTCTTCTCACTTGGATTAGATTTACATCAGAAAAATATAATGGCTGACAGAGTAGCTGTAAACTACATTAATAATTCTAAAATTAAAATTAATATATTCTGCCATCTAGAGTCTTAACTAAATGATCTTAACATCTTTGAAGTCCACAAAGAAAATGTGTCTCTTGTCAAGTCAACAGAAGCTGGAATTCAACTTGGATTTTCATTGTTTTCATGTCAGATACGCTTAAATTCAAACCCCCTTTGCAATCAGTGTTATGCATATGTATGTGGAGAGTCTTCCCATCCAACAAGTAGATTTATGATTCCTTTGGAGACAAGTTTTTGTTGCAAAGGACTAGCATCTCTATATGCATATAATCATCCCCTCTTTGTGTGTGCTTCTGAAGAGTGAACTGTGATACTCCTTTTTTATGGACACATTTGAAAGCATTTGCTTTTAGCATTTATATTAAGGTGACAGTAACAAAATGTAACATTCATTCAATCAAACATTCACTCATTCAAGATTTAAGATTTAAGGAGCATTTCCAGTGTGTTATAGTATCCTAGGCACTGAGATCACAAAGATGAATAAAAAATAATTTTTGATCTAATATGAAGGCAGATTCATTGATGAATAATTATGAAACAATGTGAAAGGCAGTGCTGTAATAAAGAGATCATTTCATGGGTTTCCTTGCCCCTCCCTGGTCTGGTTCCGTTGGCCTTGGAGTCCTACTTTATTTGTGTTCCTTTTCTCCTTAATAAACTTTTTTTTCTATAAGCAAACAAACAAAAACGATATCATTTCTTTGTAAATTCCACTTGAAACCTTAAAGTGTAACTTGGTCCTACAAAGAGAATTCTATGGCCTAACTGCACCCTCTCCTCCACTGGGAACTGGGCCATTAGCTATGACTTAGGATATTCTGAAGGGAGCTGCAGTTCCCTCCCTGAGTATGGTCTGCACTTGAGTTTGTTTAAAACCTGTAAGTCACTCAGGAATTTGCATTTGTTTTCTTAAGGGGGCTTACAAATCTGAATTGATATGGAATCATCCAACTCTCACAGGAGGAAACTCAAGCTCCCAAAGGGCCCCAGCAACAGACCCAGAAGGTCCTCCTAACAAGACATGACTTGGGACTTCAGGAGATAGGAAGGACAGGAGCTAGACGGTTCAATTGATAGTAGGGAAGGTGGCAGAAAATCATGTACCTACCAAATACGTAAAGAGTGGACCTACTCACACTGGTCTTTACCCTACTGGATTTTATTGACCACTAATGCTCTTTAAAAAAGTCCAAGTGACATTTTTGACAACAGGATCTTGGTTACAAGGACCTTTTTATTCAGTTGACAAATCTGATCTTGTTGGTCCTCAACCCATTCCTAATTCTCTTTTCATATTTATACTCTTTCCTCTAAAAAGAAAGCATGTTTCATTTCTTTTAATTAAGGATGTCTTACATAAAGAAATAGCCATAGCAATCAGCTCTGTTCTTAATAGAATAAAGTCTTGAGCACAAACTAGGTTGCTTGCAGTTCTGCTGGCAGGAAACCCTGTGGCTCCTCCTCCCAACAAAGATGTCAACCTCGACCTACATGCCTGTCATCAAAGACACAGCTCTTCTTTCAGTCAGTAGCACAGAATACCTGTATTCAAGCTGCTCTGACCTTGAAATGACTGCTGATTAGCTGCTGTCTCATTCATGAATGGGGAAATATATGTGAAAACCAGTTTGTAGACCAGTTTGGTCTACTAAAGGTGATGTACAAACTGGAAAAACAATGTAGCAAGATTTTTCAGGTAGCTAGATTTATTTGATTTAAAGGACTCTGAGGCTGTTTTTACTCCTCTGGTGTTAGAAGTCATCTTAAGAGTGACAGATAACTACGGTATTTTTAATGTTCCTGTCAAGGTAAAAATTTGGCAATTTTATTTTGGTCTTACAAATTTGGTGGGAGGAATGTTCTGTTGTGCTATGAAATGCTTAGGTTTAGAAACCACTGATCTAACAGTCTGATACACAACTATTCTTTAGAGTTTTCTCAACCTTAGCACTTACAACTTTTTTTTTTTTTTTTTTTTTAAAGATTTATTTATTTATTTATTTGTTTCTACAAGATTGATTGATTGATTTATACAAGCACTGGGTACAGTCAGAAGCGCGGGAGGGTGAGAGAATTCACCAGAGCCAGAGCAGGGAGCAGAGCAGGCAGAAGGACTGAAGTACACTGCTGAGGGGAGCAGCGGGCGGCAGGAGAGGTCTGCGCGCCATGTGGGACCCTCCTCCGGTGGCCGGGGAGCAGCCAGGAATCGAACCGGCGCTGCAGAGGCTGCGGGCAGCTTCGCAACCCAGCGCTCAACCGCTGCGCCACTGGGGAGGCCCAGCACTTACAACTTTTTAAGCCAGATATTTTGTTTTTGTTTTGAGGGGACTGTCACCCCATAATCGTAGGATGTTTAGTAGCATGACTGTCCTCTACCTATTAGAACCCAGATGCAACCATTAAAATGTCTCCAGACCTTATGAGTGCAGGTAAATTGACCCTCTCACCCTACCAGATAAACACTGGTCTAGGATTGATAATTTTCCAACTGTGACCCTGACACATTAATGCATTGTGAACTCAATTTAGCAGGTTGATAGCAGCATTGAAGAAAAAAAATATCAGATAATGGAAAATATGCAAGGATAAATAGTGTTTTATAAAATTTTGGTTCCAATTTTATACATGGAAACACATGCATTTTTCTGGACTAAGATGTAACTTTTTTTTGCTTGAGGTTATGTTTTAAAAACTTGAAAGTTATTGTTCCAGAGACATTGTAAATTTTACTTTATTTTTTCCTCATAAAGAATTTTTATTGCAATGAAAAGTCATGGCAAGTTGTAACTAAGTGTGGGTAGCAAGGAGAGCAAAACTGTAGACTCCATCCAGGTTAGTGGATGGTATCTTGCTTACCCACTCTTGTGCTCACACTAACCAAACTGGAGGTTTTCTTGTTCAACTTGCACATCTTCATATTGTAAACAACTGAAAGCAGGGACTACATCAGGTTTGCTCCCATCATATACCCTGTACCTAGCAAAATACTTCGCATGGAGTAATTAAAGATATTTGCTCAATGGATGGATGGATGGATGAATTCTTGGTTACCTCAGTGTATTTTACATAATCCTAAACTGTATCCTTTAATAATATGGTCCCATTTGGGAGTTCTCAAATTCAGCTTCCTTTATCTTTACAAGAAAGTTTTATGAAAACACTTCATTTTATTCCTTCCTTATTTCTCAACCCCTCTTCTATTATTATGTCTAATGACCCTTTTAGTCAAGATAATTGAAATATTTTCCCCTTCTCTCTATATATTTTAAGAACTGTTTTTCTTTTCTAGAGTATGTCTACTGTTAACTTCTAGACCCTCTTTAGAAGCAAGAGGCATTTGTTATAAATTCATATGAGCAAATACTTCTCTCTCATTTTGAAAAAAACTTGTAATTACAATTCATGATAGAAAAATTTCTTAAGTGACAAGTTGCATTTCTAAGATATTACCTTGTCTTATTTAGAATTTATTTTCAGTAACTACATTATTAAATTAGATAACATCTTTGGAGTCTGATTAATTGCTGTGTTGGGTAAGCATTGTTGTGTTGTGTTTTTTTTTTTTAATGAGTACACTTTTTAAAAAAAAAGATTTATTTATTTATTTTATACAAGAACCAGGGTACAGGCCAGATGTGCGGGAGGGTAAGAGGATTCACCATAGACAAAGCGGGGAACAGAACAGGCAGACTGATGAAATACACTGCTGAGAGGAGCAGCGAGTGAGACAGGAGAGGTCTGCTTGCCATATGGGACCCTCGTCGGCTGGCTGGGATTGAAACTGCGCTGCAGAGGCTGCGGACAGCTTCACAGCGCCTCGCTCAACCGCTTGTGCCACCACAGGAGGCCCTATTATTAGTTTTATAACATGTGCTAATTTGCTTTTAGGATGTTGCCTAAGCATTACTTGAAAAAAAGATGGAATACACTTTAGATACCCTCAATCCAGTACATTTATAATTAAAATATGTCACAAATATAGTCATTTCTCATTGGATATTTTCTTAGAAATATAATTGCAGTGTGTGTGATAAATAACTATCCCTTAAGAGATTCTAATTTTTTTTTTCCTTAAGGCATCATGACAGAGAAGCTTATCCCAAAGATTATGACATAGAAGGTCCTGAGAAGGTAAAAAATCTGTGCAGTTCAACATATTGTAGACTTGGAACTGAGGAACCCCCAGTAAGTATTTGTTATGAGCTCTTTAAGTATAGAATCTTCATCCTAGTGAAAACACAGAAAAGAAAAGGAGAAACTCTTTGTCAGTGCCCCCCTTTTAACTATGTCACTTACTTGGCCAGATGGCTTAGTCATTGTGTGCTTCAGTGACCTTACCTATAATGTGTATACACTTCATTAAGGTTACTGCGGAAATCAAGTGAGAGAAAACAAGTTAAGTGCTTGCTTCCATACCTGGCACATAGTAAGGGTTTAAGAAATTATTACTGTTGTGAGGACGATGTTCTTGCTCAATGTCCCCTTCAACCTTCATGATAACCATGTGAAATATGTATTATTATCTCAGGTGGGGAGAAATGAGCACAGATCAAGAGAGTGAGGATCACTTTGTGTGACATACTATGTTTTTTCATTCCACCTGTCCCCATCGGTCAGACCTGGGAGGGACCTGTGGGGGATGTGGGGAGTAGGAGAGAGATACCCTAAAGGTAAACAGCAGTGGAACATGGCCTTGCACACCTACTGCAGCCTCCCAAACCTAAAGCTGCACTGAATTGGGAAGGTAAGAAACTTCACTATAATATACCTGGAAATTTTCATTATTTCACTGGACTGAAGAATTTCATAACTAGAATGACGTCCTTCTTGAGATTAAGGGGCATGCAAAGCTCTGGGTCTTGCCTGAAATTTCCATTAAGCAAAAAGAAAGAACTAGTCATCCAGGTGGGTGGCTTGCTACATGATTACATCCTATTGATGCAATAGAACTGTTCCATAAGGCAGTTGCATGGGCAGTGCCTTACTTCATCCTCTGAACAGTTCTTCAAGTAGGTACCATACGGAACCTGATTGTATAAATGAAGAAATTCAGACCAAGTGAATTTAATCTCTTGTTCAAAGTTAGTTAGAACATGTATTAAAAATTAAAATCCAGTTTTTTCCTCTGGTTCCAAAAGTCTAGTTAAATATTTTTCCAAACTGTCTTAACCCAAACTGCAGATTCCTCTCCCAGGCCAGTTGCCGTTTTACCTCCTGACACTGCATCCTTCTTCCAGAAAATCAACCTAATTATATTTTTATTCTATTGTGGGTATTGTGTACATCTCACTGAATATATGTGGGGACATTCCTTTCTTACATCTTAGCTATAGCCTCTTTACTGTTTCCAAAATTATGTCCACACTTGTGCTTTGTAGTCCTAATCCCATATTTCTCTCCTAAATTCCTTCTTTCATATTTTTGTATGTTTGCAAGATTGCTGCTGAGTGGTAGCTTTTTGTGTTCAACTGCATTTCTGTTTGAGTGAAGGTGTCCTTTTCCTTAATGCTGCTGCTGAGGCTAATGTGAACATCACTTAGTTGTAAAAGGATTTAAAATGGTACTTTTTCCCCCCAATTTATTAAACTTTATTTTCTTACATTGTCATTCATTTCTGTACAATATTTGATTTCTCCCCTCAGGTGTAGTTCACATAAATCTCCTATCCCTACATCACCTGTGATCCATCACCATAGTCCGTTGTGCTTTTCCCTCCAGTTTTGACCTTTCTCCCTCTCCCTTCCACCCCCCCCCCCATGCCTCAGCTCTATAGTTTGCCTGCAAGTTTTCTCTCTCTCTCTTTTTTTTTTTGGACTCCTTGTTTGGTTTCCCTATATTCCTCCTATAAATGAAGCCATCCAATATTTTTATTTTCCCCTCTGACTTACTTTACTGAGCATAATCCCTTCTAGCTCCATTTATGTTGCTGTGAATGGCATAGGTTTATTTTTTGATTGCTGCAGTATTCCATTGTGTAAATATACCACATCTTTTTGATCCATTCATTTGTTTTTGGGCATTTAGGTTGTTTCCATATCTTAGCTATTGTGAATAGTGCTGCAATAAACATGGGAGTTCGGGTTTCCTTTTGAATTAATGTTTTTGTGTCCTTTGGGTAGATTTATAGTAGTGGAATCACTGGGTCATATGGTAGATCCATGTTTAGTAATTTGAGGAACCTCCGCACAGCTTTTCCGTAGTGGTTGGACCAGTTTGCATACCCACAGGCAGAAGATCAGGGTGCTGTGAAGGGCACTGAACTGAAATGGGTTAGGGGAAAGGGTCAGAGCTGGCTTCATTGTGGAGATCATCAAAGTGAAACTCCCAAGTGAAAGGAATTTAAGGTGACCATCTCTTGGCAGAATCTGGATGATCTTCTCCAGCTTCAGGAAATGAGTAGTGCCAGAGGGGGTATAGGTGTAGATTCACAAGGAAACTAATTCAAGCCACTGGAGTTTGTTAGATTATCTTATTAATCTAAACAATGGAAAACAGCATTTTAAACTACTGTGTTTTTTTGGTATTTTATTTTGACTTTATTCAGGTGATACTTAACTGAAGCAGAGTGAGTTTAAGCAAGCTGAAAATTTCAGGCATACTTTTAACCATTGTGTCTTCATTTATAAAGTTCTTCACCCAGGGATCCTTATAACATTACCATAAACCCTTCCACAATCACTTAAGACTGCTTCTGAGAAAGTGGTGCATATTGAATCCCATTAAACTCAGAAGGATTAAGTTATAGAGAGGATTGGATGCTGTGTCATAGAAGGTGAAAACTCCCCTTCTATGTGAGGAACAAAGAAAACCTGAGTACTTTTATTAAGCAGATGTTTCTTATGCAGCTAATGGAACAATGCCAAGGGATTTTTGGAACTAAAGGACATCACAGTCATTTTGGATTTTAAAATGGCAAGTAAACAAATAGTACAAAAGTATACTACCATTCTTTTATCTTTTATAAATAGACAAAAGATAATTCAATGGCCTCAAATATAGGCTGTTTCAGACAATGACAGTAAGATATTTAAAAATTACTGACAGTAAAAAACATATAAAGGGATATAATTATCCTGGATCTGAGAAATTCAATTATCATTTATTTAATTGGTTTAGGGTTTTTTTTTTCCTTTGATTGACTTAGAATGATATTTTCACCACTGTAATCTTGTAGAGGCTTCTTGCATTCAGATCTAAGTATTTGAAATGCATATGGATGAAATTTTTGTAAATGGAATGTATTTAAGTGTTTTCGTTTGGTTGTTTTTTTAGGAGAACCACTACTACAAAGATGTTTAGGGATAGTGGACTATTGAGTAGGGTATCCTCTTGCTTTCTGCCTCCATAATTTCTGAGTTTAGAGTTGATGCCATTGTTCTATTAATAGTATGGCTCTGGATCTACTTTGGATTGCCTTATATATCAGTACAATTACATCTGCCTGTTTCAGGAATTTTGTGTAAAGTTTGGCATACTGAATATGCTTTCCTTGTTTTCTGCAGCTGTGGGTTTATTTATTCTAGTGAATATCTTTCCAGTCATTTCTAAGGATTTGGAACAGGAATAAAAGTAGGCAGTCATTATTTTGATCCCATCACTATCCCACGCAACTCTTGCTATATCATAATCATGCCCTAATTGAACTTTTACAGAAGCTGAATTTTAATTTCTCATGTATATTAGTTTATTTAATCAGGTATAACACTTATGGTGAACAAAGAACTTGTAAATAGGATTTTAACAAAGTTACAATCACACACACACACACACACACAAACACACACACACACACTATATTCTTTTTCTCCACTGTCTGTTTACCCTACTTTGTGGAGTTACTTCTTTCTCTATTCCTAGATAAAATCTTGGCAGTTCCCATAATTTTTGTGGTCACTCATAGATAATAAAAAAAATCTATAGAGCACATTTCAATAATTAAAACATCTTCCCCAAATGATGAATTTCATTTGAGGTTAAAACTTTTTCTTTCCTTCAGGCAAGGAAGTCTGCAGAGGGAAGTGTGTGTGGCGAGAGGTTTAACCTATTTTCCATTTCTGTACTTTGCTCCTCTCTTCTCTCAGGCAACTAGATAACTAAATGATCCTCTTGTGATTATTCTACTAATATCAATTACTTAACTGAGGCCATTTTTGTGACAATAAGTGATTTTGTTATCTCATAATGATCAGAAACAAGTGTGGTACTTACTTGGGCAAGATTTATTTCTTCTAGAGATAGTGAAAGAACCACTCCATAAAAGCTGACTTGAAAAGGCAATGGAAAAAAATAGAATAAAATTATTTTTCTGGTTGCACCCCATGAGTCTCAGTTGTTCAAAATAGTGATTGGTATATTTGTGCGGAGGGGGCTTCTCTATTTCTCTGGGCTCCCTTAGATAATCTGTATATAGCACTACTGATTTTGCCTAAACATGAAAACACAGCCATAATTTTCAAGGGTTAATTCCTAGTGATGGCAAAACCGTATTGTACTAACCTGAAGTGAACCGAAGTCATATAATTAATTAGAGCTTTGGCACCCTTGAAGCTGGATGTCCCAAATTCCTAAAGAATTCCCTCTCTTTTTAAGTAGAAAATTCAGGGGATTAGTATTAACTAAGATTTCATTGATTGGGGAAAGTATGGGTTCTCTTAGTGGTGGTGAGTTCTAGTTCTCTGCTGTGAATCTCGAAATTCATGATCTTCCAGAGTTTTATATGGAAAAAATAGTTATTTTTTGCTATCCATTTTTGTTCCTAAAATCCCCATTATACTTCTGAAATGTGGTCAAGTATATCTTATTATTTGAAGGATTTACTCATAGTAGTAATTACTTGATAATTTATTGAATTAAACTCTGTTATAGAGAATGGATAACGATGATGGTATCTGAAGTCCTATGTGATTTACAAAATGATTGCTACAAACAATGTTTTTCTTGGAGTAGTTAAAACTTCCTAACCTTGAGAAAGAAATAGAGGGCAGACAGTATTTAGTTGAAAGCAGCACCTTCCACTTCGTAGAAACAAATTGATTTTTATTATTCAACAATACATAGTAAGGAACTATCATTTTAACATATTTCTGATGAAGTAGCTGACTACTAGAAGATATTGCTTATTTTTTGTCAGTGGAGTCAACTATTAAAATTAGACTGTACTTCAACCAAAATTTATTTTAGGCACTGACCATCTTTGGCTATCAACTTTTTTCTTCTTATACATGGTTTCTATTTTTCCAGATTTGGATATCAGAGACACATGAACAGATGTCACAAGTTTATTTAAACAAAGAATTGGCTGAAATAAAGAGTAAGGCTTTACTGAATGAGGAAACAATGAGCTCTGGGATTATTGAAAGGTATTTTTACTATTATTTTCCTTAACTTATAGAACAAGCATATGCAGGAAAGGACTTATATAAGTGGTGAAGGGTAGAGTGGTCCTAGCTAGATGGTACAGGAAGACATCAAGCACAGGAGCACCTCTCAAGCTTCCATGTTTTTGCTTGTGCTTTAACCTCCGTTTGGTATTCCCTTCCCTTCAGTTGTTTGCCAGTCACTACTACTTTTTTGGGGGCCAGCTAAAATGTCATTTCCCCTTTACACTTTTTTTTTTTTTTGGATCAGAGTTCTGACTGTCTAGATCTGAACTCCATTTCGACAATTTATTTGGGAAGGCTGCTTGGTGTCTGTAATCCTATTTCTTTGCCTGTAAAATGTGAATTACAAAAGTGTCCACTTTCAAAGGACTGTTCTGAAACTTATAAGAAATAATAAATGACATATGCATAGAAATATTGCCTGACATATATAAGGATTAGTCATCAGTAATGAAAATTAATTGCTCTTGTATCCTTGCCATCTGAGCATTTTATGTGTTATATAGCAGTTGGGCTTACATTCACTATTTATATGCATGAGTTTCCCTCAGGAAAGAGAGTTCCTTGAGGGCAGAAACTTGTTCTTAGTTGTAGCTGTAGCCCTGCGACCTGGCACAATGTCTTCCATGGAAGTTTGTAACATATAGTTTGTCTTTTACTGTGTTTATTAGAAAATACAATCAAAGTAATGGCAAAAGACTGAAATTTCAATTTTTATTTGTTAGATCATTTATTTTGCATTTAAAAATACCCACAAAAATTCAGCCCCAAATTAATTTTTTATGGCCTTAAAAGTTTATAAGTGTCAGTCTGACGTATTTTCTAAAAATTTTTATATCTTGTTTCCAGGGACACCGGATTGCCTGCAACAGGCTTTGGAGCAATCTTTGCTAGACACCCACCAGATCATGACAAAATGTTAGTCCTGAAAATGCTACAGGTTATGCAGAATCTTTCTTAATGATTCAGGAGGTTTGTTTGCAGGCTTGAAAGAGTGAGGGGTGTCCCAAGATCAAAAAGATGCCCTTTCCATGTCATCTCTTTAGTGATTTCTTTCCTTTAACAAGAGTTCTTTTTATAAAAAAATTATTTATTTATGCATATAAAAGCTGGGGTACAGGCCAGAGGTGGCGGGGTTGAGGGGGGGGGTGAGAGGATTCACCAGAGACAGAGGTGGGGAACAAAACAGGCAGACTGACTAAAGTACACTGCTGAGGGGAGCAGTGGGCAAGTCAGGAGAGGTCTGCTGCGCCATGTGGGTTGCTCCCTGGAGGGCAGGGAATCAAACTCGTGCTGCAGAGGCTGCGGACAACCTCATAGGTTGCATCTTAACCCTTGTGCCACCAGGGAGGCCCCAAGATTTCTTTTTCAATTAATATACAAGCATTAACAGTAATATTAATATTTATAATAATATAGTCAATCCTCATTATTCATAGGCTCCATATTTGTAAATTCTGCTTTCTAAATTTTATTTGTAATTTCAAAATCAATACTGGAGTGCTGTTATAGTCATACACAGACATGATTAGAACAGTGAAAACTTTGAGCTAGCCAATGTACATGTCCCTATCTAAGGCTGGACAAGGCAAGGCTCTAATTTCACGATTCAGTTCTCATACTGTAAGCAAGTGTGCCAGTTTTTGTAATTTTTGCTGGTGATTTTGCTGTTTGAATTATCCCCCTGGTGTTAAAGTGCTATTTAGTGTCCTAATCCCAAGAAGGTTGCAATGTACCTTAAGAGATATATCACCTTCACAAAAAAGACAGGAGCTGAGCCTCCCTTTTCAGTGGGTAATGTATATAGTCATCAGATCAGAGGCTACTTATAGTTTCAAGGATAATATAAAGTTCTAGTTTTTAAAGAATCGTGGCCCATTAAGGAATAAAAGCATCACAAGGAATGACAATATATAGGCAACCTATACCAGAGGAAGCAGACCTGATGGAACAAATGGAACAGGAATTTAAAACCAATGAAGCAGAAATTTAAAGTTTTATTACCCAGGGAAGTGAAATAATTGCAAACATAAGGCAAGGTAATAAAAATCAGATTGGCATTAACTGTTCAACAACAACACTGGATGTGCAAGAATATAACATTAAAATGTTGAAGGATTTTGATCCTAGAATTATTTAAGTGGAAATGTCAAATACTGATATATTCAGCATACACCAACTGGTTTTAGACTTACTATCCTGCCACAAATAACTATTGTAGTAGGCAAAATAAGGCAACTATTGTCAAGTGTTGGATAACAACCACTGTAGCACTATGTTCCTTTAGATAGTGGGGGTGGGGAGGAAGGAGGTAATCACCTTCTCCCTGACTTACCCAGCACAAGGATGTTATCCCAAGTGTACAGTAGTTTTCTGGTTGAGCAGGAGGAGGGAAGAGGAATTCAGGATACTGGAAAGAAGGAAGTTGTGTGTAGAGATGAGAACAGAAGTCTGCATGGAGTTCCCTTCAGGTTCTTGATCAGGGACAGGGCTCTGTATATACAATCAGAATAGTACATACTCTGGCTTCATAAAACCAAATAGAAATATCTATTGTGCATTCCGAAATTTCACAGTGGTCCTCCTTCCTGGGGGTAGTATCGTATAGTGTGCTATGGGGCTATGTCATCTGCCCTCAAATACTGGCCCTGCCACTTATTCACTGTGTTGTCTTGGGCAAGTTGCTTAGCCATTTTGTACCTCAGTTTCTTTATTTGTAAAGTGGAGATAATAACTATTAATAACTATTATGTTGTTGCAATGATTAAACAAGTTAATATATGTAAAATAATTATAACTGTAATTATTACATATGTGATAAGTGCTGTGTAAGTCAGCCAAGTCAGATACTTGGTGAACCCTATTAGTCTAGAAACTCATATCAGTTCAGGGAAATAGTCTTGATTTATTTCATTCATGTTTTATGCCTTCCATTTTCTCTGTTCTCTCCTTTTTGAAATCCTCTTCTTTTAAAAAAAGATTTATTTATTTATTTATTTATGCATAGAAGAACGGGGGTGTAAGCCAGAGGTGCAGGGGATGAGAGGATTTGCAGAGACAGAGTAGGGAGCAGAACAGGCAGATCTACTGAAATACACTGCTGAGGGGAACAATGGGTGAGACAGGAGAGGTCTGCTTAGTGGACAAGACAGGAGAGGTCTGCTTCACCATGTGGAATAGTTCCCTGCCTGAGGATTGAAATCTTGCCACATTTAATAATGTTTATTCTTCCAATCCATGGAAACAACCCAAATGCCCACAAATAAATGACTGGATCAAGAAGATGTGGTACATATACACCATGGAATATTACTCAACATTCAAAAAAGATAAACACATGCAATTTGCAGCAACATGGATGGTGCTGGAAGGGATCATGCTCAGCAAAATAAGCCAGAAAGATAAAGAAAAATACTGGATGGTCTCACTCATAGCAGGAATCTAGAAAACTTAAATAAGGGACCAGGAAAATGAATAACTATAAGAAAGTGAAAATCAAAATCAACAAACAACTATGAACCAGAGACACTCTATGGGGGGTAGGGGGCGGGGAGGGGAGGGATTGGGGTCAAAATAAGGGGGCTGCAATTGTATGGGGAATATAAAAATAAAATTTATTAAAAAAAAAAAGAAATCTTGCCACAGTGGCTGGCAATAGCTTGATAGCACTGAGGCTTTAACCCCTGCGCCACCAGGGAGGCCCCAAAATCCTCTTTGTTGATGTTGGATTGCTTGCTTGGCCTAGTCCTTTAATTTTCTTATCTTTTTTCTATTTTATTTTTGTCTTTCCTCTTTTCTCTCTGTTTCATAAACCCCACTGTTGAATTCTTGTTTTGTTTTCTGAATCCATAACGGCAATATTTTCATTTATCTATCTGGGGATATTGATAATAATTTGCTTTTTTAAAATGTATTTTTCCTACATATTCTCTCTTTTCTCCAATATGTTTCCCACCCTACTCTATGTTTGTATGATATCTACCTTTTTGCTAGCAGTTTTTCTCAAATGTTTGGTAATCAACCTTTTATTTTCTGCTCATGATTAAGAGATGAGACTCAGAATCTGTAAGGCTTGCTGATGTAGAATTTTACTGGAGTAATTTAAGGGATTCTTTTATTTTTTTGCCCCAGAAGCCCTCATGTCAGTATTTTAGTTTTCATTGTGGGCTGGTCAGATTCCTCAGAGGAGACTCCTCTAATCTCCCATCTGTAGAGTGAAGGGCGGGCACTTATGTTTTGGAGCAAGCAAGGCAATTGGCTGGAACATCAATATTAATCCTTCTTTGTGTTTAGTCAATGAACGTGTTTTGATTAGGGACTTTCTCTTTTACCCTTTCCAGTGAACAATTTTCTAGCTTCCTGCTCTTTCCCAGTCCTCCATGCTAATTTAGGATTTACTCAGCTTTCTGCTACGTCAGAGATCACTTGTCCATCTTCTCTTGAGCTTCCAATATTTGTGGGTTTTTTTGGCCCATTTTCCTGTTTTCCTTGTTGTTGTGGATTTATTATTTTTTTTAAAATCTCTTTAATGTAGTTTCAGTGGAGTTTTTTTGAGGAAGCAAAATGCAAAGTATGTTTTCAGTTTTAACTCTGAAGTCATCAAGGCTCATCTGAAATGTCACCTCCTCCAGAGGACATTTCTTTCCTACTGCACCACCATACCCATGACTTTGCAGGTTCCTTGAATATATCTGTAGCGCTGTATTCTTTTATCTAAATACTTTTCATCTTGGTTGCAAATTATTACATTTGCAAATTATTACATTTATGTTTGTTTTTCCTGTTAAATGCAATGCTCTGAAAGTCAATACTGTTGCAGTTCTTTCTCTATCCAGTGCTTAACTTAAGAGAGCTTGACCTACAGCAGATGCACAATAGTTATTTTTGGAATGAATGAATTAATTATTATGTTGAATAGCAAATTATAATGTGAAATGGATTTGACTAATTTCTGTTTTATTGATTTAGGGCTTCTAGAGTTTAGAAATGAGTTGTTCTTGATTCTACTCTGGTAAATACATTAAAAAACACAGTCTCCTAGAAAATAAGCATTTACTAAGTTTGATTTGCTAGAATTACTTGCCTTTTTTTATTTGATTCATGACAATTAGCAAAGAAATAGATACATGGGTACCTTCAATTGTCTTTCATAAATTCCATTTGTAGTTCTTTCTTTCTGTCAATATACACTAATTATAGGGCTCTTCATACAATAGAATACTGTGGCCTTTTAGAATCTGCTTTCTTAGATATTAAATATTCTTTTGCTTCTTGTCAACTGTGTGGCTTTGGAAGTTAAATGTCAACTTTAAAAGGCAATGAATAAGAATGAGTTTGCTCAATGGACCAAAATAATGTGCTTCAGCTTATGAAAGAAAAACTGTAATCATAATGTAAATTTAAACTTTAGGTTACCTCTTAAAAATAATAATATAGGTGTTGCTTTATTATTAAGAAGACGTTCAAATGCATTTCTCTAAATTTTCAGATAACACCTATTGTGTTGTAATTACATTTGACATTCTGGTTTTTCCTCACAATTCAACTGATAGCATACCTTCTTTATTTTGGAGGGATATTAAGAATACAATGCCTTCCTCCTTAATCTGGCAGGACACATTTCTGGAACATATTAAAAATCAGAATGACTGGACTATTTGATACCAATTGGACTTAGCACTCCTGATTTTAACTAGAGAAAATATATCTATGGGCAATTCCTTCCCTTTATGTCAGAGACTGAAATACATTTTAAAAAATTATAGGAGATAGGTTGATATTAATGATTTAAACTTAAAAAATAAGATTTATATCTATTGAAGCTAGATTGAGCTCATTTAATCATGGTTTGTAGTTCTTTCTTGAGAGTTCACATTTGCATCAGTGAGTTTCTAAGAAACTGGAATTGGCTGGGCAGT